ATAAAACTAAAATGTAAGAAGTAAAGGTAGTCACGATGCGTGGAAAATGTGAAGAAAAAAGAAAAGAGTGACACAACTGTTTTCAATTGCTTTTGCACACGTTGTAGGATTAGGAAATTTTTTCTTTATAACGTACTCTTCGAAGACTACGACTACGAGTGTCGCGTTACGACGTCAGAGCTTTCGTATTTGAAGTAACGTAACTTTTTCTCGGTTAACAGAAAAATTCTGTCGAAATTTTTGCACGCACGCTGCTTCGTTTCTCTTCGCAAAAAGGAAAACAAAAAATATCGATCACCGATTAGAAATCGTGAAAACGTACATAGTGTTTCGTTCGAAAGAATGTTCCTCGTACAATATTTCCGGTCTCTCCTCGAGTTAATTCGAATAGAACAGGTGATCGATATATTTCTCTATATTTTAAACGAATCGTACTTCGTCGTACGCGTAATATCAAAGTAAAAAGTTACGCTCTTTGTACACAGCAACGATCTTAAATGGACGCAAGAAATAGGAGATTGTGCGAGAATGGGATTTTCGTTGCACTTCTTCAGCTCGACGAAAAGACTGAAGAAAGAGCGACATTGTTCTTCCTCTTTTTTTTTTTCGGTTTTTTCTTTTTCATTATAGATTCATGCAGATTCCTACATTTTCATTTTTTTTTTTATACTTTTGTCGTTTTTTAAAAAAAAAGTTACCAGCTGGGTGTCGGTAAGAGAGAGAATCTTCTGTCGAGTTCTCTCGAGTCGCGGCAAAAATTGAAAAAATATTACAGGCGTGTGTGTGTGTGTGTGTGTGTGCACATTATTTCTCCCCTCGCATAATATATCGTATCTCTTTCATTTTTTCGTGTATATATACGTATATACTCTTTTTAAATAGCTCTGACAATCGTTATTATCACCATAATCATCATTCTGACATACAAACAGTACAGTATCATTCACGCGTACAACAATCACCGATGCGGAAGACGAAAATACTGCTTTCCGTTCGGTATTCGTTCTAAAAAAAAAAAGAAAAAAAGAAAAAAGAAAAGCTCTCGCAACGAGTTACGTGGAAAATTAGGTGAGAAACAGAAGGGGGAAGTCCCAAAGAAGAGGACAGACTTTTCGCTACAATTTTACACGATTGGTGAATGCTATTCCTAGTAAATTCGTAGAACATGGTGCAGAGAAACAGATGCAAAATTTATGGTAATATAAGAATTTGTTACGTTATTACACAATGCGGTCAAAAGTGTTTCCTTTTTTTTTCTTAAAATACTTAACAATTCGTTCGTCTTATTATTGCTACTAATTGTACAGATTTTATCTCTCTATTTACTTTACTCTTGGAAGAAACGCGAAACTATGGAAGAAATATCTTGCCGAAGAGGAAAAATCACCTAATTCATTTTCTTCCAATCTCTTTTCTCTGTTTCACACTTTAGAGCGACGTGTTCTTTCTACAAAAATCGTGGATGAGAAACCTTCCGTTTGCATTGTTTGTCCTCGATTGCGTGAATGCTTTTCTAAATGTTTCCCAAAAAGAAAAAAAAAAAAAAGAATAAAGAAAAATGTGCGTACACGCGCATTTCATTCGACTATTTATTTCTACGCTGCGTCGGTGTCCCAACACCGAAAAAAAGAGAGAAAAAAAAAAGAAAATATGTTAACAATATATATCAAATAATAGATTTCTTTCAGATTTTTAAACGAACGAATGAACGAAA